TAAGGTCACAGCATATAAAGTGGTATATACATTATAAGCACTTCGTAGATTAAATTTAGAATGAAAAAATTATATCATTTACAAAAAATAAAAATAAACCTTATGCTTCTGACAAAATTGTTGCACTTTAACATTGAACGAATTAAATTTAACCAATAAATAAAAAGAAGGATCAATGCATTTTCTCCAATGTCCTCCATTAAAATCTGAAACTGCATTAAAAAAAAATACAGGGTGTTTCTATATCAATTATATAGTCAGTAAACATGCTACATAATATTGCCACTTTATTATTAACCACTTTTCAGTGACAGCGGCACAAAATTTAGTTAATGGAAAATGTTACAGAATTGTTTAACTTCTCTTTTTAGTTTAAGCAGGTTTGTCTATAAAGATGGCATTTTCTTTGCCACATTTTCGAGTGATAAGGGTTTTTTCTAAACGTTGTTGGACTTTGAAAGGTTCTTTGTATGGTTGTTGCAAGCTAGACGTTTTTCTTGGTGCTTCCATGAATACGTACTCCCAACTTTTTAAAACGTCATGCACGAACATTAAATTGTTTTTTGAAATACGTTCCAAATGCTGGCTGTATAGCTTGAAAATTATTTTTAATTTGTGAAAGTAATTTTTGGGGTTCAGTTATGTTTTTACTAGTTACGAAACATTCTCCTGGAACTCGTAGAACTTGTCCGTACACTTATTCTACAGAAGAACATTGCAGATCCTCTTTGAGAGAAGTTCTTAAAACTAATAAAATTATTGGAACTTCCTTGCTTCCCTGCTTTCCTTGCTTTGTGTTGGGCTATTAAAGATGCTTTTGACTAATTATAAAATCTTTCAAATAACCCGTTATTTTGAGGATAAGTATTTGTATGAATTTTATGATTGCCTAGTAATTTTGTTAGTTCTGTAAATAATTTTGCTTCAAATTATGCTCCCTGATCTGTGGTCACTTATAAAGGAATACCAAAACCAGGTATATATTCAGTAAAGAAAGTCTCGGCTACCATAGATGCAAAGATATTTTCTAAATGTTATGCTTCTCGTCTGGAAAATTTGTCATTTATTGTTGAGTATATCTATTTGAACTAGGTGCAGTGTAGATGCTTGCTTTAGTCCAATCATTTATATCTGAATTTATTCTAGCCCAAAAATTGTGTTAATTAAATTTCTAGTTCCTCATAAGCCACGATTGGAAAGTTTTTACGGTAATTTTGTGGAACGTATAACATAATGTTTTTAAAGGAAATTATACACCACCCTAAAAAAGTTGTAAATGGATCTTACACACATGGGCGTCGTTACACAATTCTATAGGGGGGGGCAAAATTTTGAAAAAATTTAGTATGTGTATTTATTGAAAAACAAAGAAAATGAAACATAAAAGAGAATTTTCTTACGATGGATTTAATTATTCTGTGACGTCATGGCTTACTTCCGGTTTTTCCAGAAATAACAGAAAATCGCAATTTATTTTTAATTTTTAAATGAAAACCCTCTTTCTTATTGAAAATTTGAATTTCTGGTACATTTTTGTGTAAGAAGCGTGTATTGAAAATGTTTTCAGTAACATTTTAAAAAAAATATGTTCCAATATGATGATCATTTTGACAGCTGACAAAAAATTTTCAACACATGATTCTTATCCATAAATGTCTCTAAAATCCAAATGTTCAATAAAACCGGGGGTTTCTATTTAAAAATTAAAAATAAATTGAGATTATGTTATTTCTGATTAAACAGAAGTAAGCCATGAAGTCACACACCAGTTGAATCCAGTAAATAAGAGTATTTGTCCCAACCTTTTAAACAAATAAGTTTTTATTCCAGTATCTCAATTAACAACGAAGATAAAAGCGGATAGAATTATTAAACGGTTTGCTAATAATAAAAAGGCTTAGATACGCCACTGGTATACGGTTAATGGGTCTCAATGGGAATTTTGATGCCTAATAAGATTTTATAAAGTTCGTACATTCCTATATGTTTTTCCATAAACGAATTAATAGTAACATATTTAGAAAAAATATTATCCAATATGGCGGCCATTTTTACAGCTGACAAAAAATTGTCAATACACGATTATTATACAAAAATGTCCAGAAATTTAAATTTGCAATAAAAAAGAAGGTTTCATTTTAAAAATAAAAAAAATCTGTTATTTTAGGAAAAATCGGAAGTAAGCTATGACGTCACAGAACAAAGTCTTTCAAACAGAACAAAATTAATCCGATATCTCACTGAATAGCGAAGCTAAGGGGGAGTAGAACTGTAGTAGTAACCCTAACAATGTTACTGACCTATTTGACAGAACTGATACTTAAGTTGTCATAACAAGTCTTTAATAAATAAAATAATCCAACAAAAAAAGACAAAATAAAAGTATATGGATTTATAAAACAAGTGAAAAAATCAGCTAAAAAAAGTAGTATAATTAATAAAAATCAATAATAAAACATAGGTAGGTATTTACGAGAAAATGTATAAGATCTTGCCTAAGCCTAATAAGTTGTCATTGAAGAATATGTTAAAGAAGTTCAAAATAAAAATACTACTATTATATAATAACGTAGAATTAAAACGAATTAACCAAAATACTTGGTATATTTGCGATTGTAATTTATATTTTCTTCATTATTAGTTCGAAAGATCCTATAGAAATTAACGATTAAAACTGGTTTCCTATCAATAAGTCATAAGATTGTATTTCAGCCATATACAATAATTAAAGGCAGAAATCATTTGCTCAACATTTAAGACTTAAGGAATGTTGAAGAATATCATAAAATAATAATTTATTGTTTATTTAAAACCTTTTCTGATGTCTATTATTTCCAATATTACTGTTATTATTACAAAAACAGAGGTTTTTTCTTCATATTATACAGCTGTCTATTTATTTTTTTGATTTAATTTCGATTTTGCTACTGAAAATTTATATAATTTACAGTTTTTTTGCTAGTAAAATTTGCAACATAGTAACTCCGGTTGCTCATATTATTGTTTTTAACCTATTTTTTAGTAAAAAAAGTAAAATGTATACGTGTATTTGATACGCCAAAATTACAAAATATCGCCCTAAAGTACTCGAATTATCCGCAGCTTGCGTTAGTATCGCTTTTGCTTTCCATACCATGACTTCGCACTGATCGAATAGATCGCAGCCATGTTTTAACATACCTTAGCGTGCTAAACGTTCTTTCGATTAACTCTTGTCGTTGGTGGAAGAGCCATAAATATTTTTTAAACCACTTTTTATGTCTGGATAAAATTCACAATATTTGGATGCTATATCATTAATGAAAAGCTCATTGTGTGTAGAAAGCTCTTTCGTACTCCAGTTTGGTATTCAACTTCAAAATTGTCGATTCCAAATTTTTCCACTACTTTCATTTTCTAATCGGTAATGAAAAAAGTATTGTTTTTATGCTTTTGGGATGTAGCAGGCTTAAGGAAAATTATCAGTCTTCGGAAAAGCGTGATGTAAGTGACGAAATAAGGGATTCCAGATATCGTCGGCCTAGGATGCAAATGGCCTGACTACACTTTTTACCAAAGATACGTTTTATTGGCTACCCGTTAGTTAAAGATCTGTATTGTCGATTCGAAATGGCCTGTCAAGCCTATTTTAAATATTCGAACCAAAAATTACATGACTCATTTAGTATAACCTATTTACATTAAGGTTAGGTCTAAAAGATTTTTAGCATTTCCTTAAAAATTTATATTTTAGGAGTTAGGCCATTTGCATCTTAGACCGACGATATTCAATAAATATATTCAACCTATAATATTCTTCAACTATATTAGCCTTAATGTTATTATTTCTATATGAGATTGTTGTTCGTATGCATAATTTTACGCGATGTTGATTAAGTCGCTAAAAGCCAGGGGGGGGGCAACTGCCCCCCCTTGCCCCCCCAAACGACGCCCATGCTTACACATCTTTAAGTTTTTCTATAAATTTAAAGTTATTTCGAAGACTTTAATTCTTCGTCAACTTTGTGTTCATCGGCGATATACTTTATATCGATATATCTTTTACAACTAACTTTTTCCAACTGTTTGGGAATAAGGGACCATATGTCGGCAACATTTAATTTTTTACTAATGTGGCGTATGTCAGAATTAAATTGTTAAATATATTCTAAGTGCCCATTTTGTCCAGGACTTCTTTTTGTTTTTAAAAATAATGCTCTAACTAGTGATTTATGGTCTGTTTGTATTAAATAATCTCGTCTTTCTAAAAAACTAAGAAAATATTTGCTTGATAATTAAATTGAGAGCTTCAAAGCAATTTTCCAGCTGATATTTATTTCTCTAATGTAAAATTTACTAGTAATATTGCTTTAAAAATTCCATCAAACCGTCTCTGTGTTCAATTGTACATTTACATTAATATTCCAGTGAGTGCGAGTGCTTTATATGCTCTTAGTAATCGCCTAATGGTTTTCCTCTGTTGTACCAACAGAATGTCTACTCTATTAATAATAATTTTAAATAATACATAAATACGTTAAATAATTCACAAAACTAAAATCTATATAACACAATTAAATTCATTTTAGACAAGAATTATGTGAATAATTAATAATATACAGAAATTATGCCATAGTCATTTATATGCTGTAATTCTCAGTAGAGCTTCATGTGTAGCGAGAATAACCAACAACTTCAATGCGGATAACAATTATGTATGTTCACGTATCAATCGTAATACGAATTGTATCAAAGCCGACAGCTATAAATTGTTTCTATCGAGCTTATTTATTAATTTTAATTAAAATTTTGCTTTATTTAATAATAATTAAAATATGCAAATAAATTTAATAAAATATTGTTTTTTGCTATTAAAAAAAAACATCAATGGTCTCAACTTGTTAAAGATAATATTTTTTTTTAAATTGTAGTTAAATCCAAGATCTTAATTTTCGATCCTATCTATTTCGTCAATAAAACAAAAAAGCCACTGATACACTATCAACTAATCAGAACTTTAAATGGAATGGACCAAGTATGAAAAAGAAGCCAAAACGTTTTCAAATCCCTTAAATCAAACTTTTCAAACAAAAATGTAGTACATGGGAATTACTGTCATATGAAGTCGAATAATTATAAATAATTTAAATAATACTGGAAGAAGTTAAAAACAACATAACGTGGGCGCTGGCTGACTGTAAAAGCCTTAGAACATATTGTATAGTCAGGAAGGAGCATGCCATGTCCGCGTTAATCTAATCAATTTGACGGAAGTGGTAGCCATGTTATACTATGGATCATCATGATAAATGGTTTTTGAAATTGGTTCATAATTTTAGTGATTAAAATTTGTTAATAATTTGGATGTTTTATGTGTTAATTTAAACTTTTATCAAGCGTATGTTTTGTAGACATTTTTAAAAAGTGTCAAGTGTTTTAGTATTTAGTCAGTATTACTGTTAATTTTAAGTTTTCCTCGTTAAAAGACAAACAAGACAATATGGTCAGTTGTTCCTCTTGTGGATGGTAGCAGCACAGCTAAAAGTAGAAAGAAAGGAACTACATTTCATAAGCAAGTATTTTGTTCCCTCATTCCCACATTAAAGATTTTTTAAATTTTTTATGTTTTAAATTTGTAAACAAACATGGTAAGTACGTCTGCGATCAACTGTGCTTATAGACGTAGTATCATGGTTTATAGGGTATACATACTTCTATTTAAACAATTCTTTTATGCAATTTTAAGATATTTATGTGGTTGTTAAAATGAATAAATAGGAGTCGATTTTTAGAACTCGTCGACCCCCAAAATCAGTTTTCGTTTATGTCGACCCCTGGGAAACCGATGTCGACCTCAAAGGGTCGGTATAGAACACTTTAGGAATCCCTGGTCCAGGCTCTACATAAATAATAAATAAGCTAATGGAAAATACGTATATCGATTATCTCTTTTTTTCTGTAATTTTTTAACTTAACTTTTCCCATAGTGTTATTTTATGCAACCGTTTTTAAAAGGATAGCGTTATAAAAAATAGTTCGTGACCTGGAAGCATTAAATGCTAATTTATATAAATATTAAATTAGTTAACATGAAATAAGCTTTTGAGTTACAATGGTTCACATTTTTTTTGTAGATATATCAAAAGTTTTCTATTTTTAGATGTAACAGAAAAATAATAAAAATTAAATATTGTACTAGCGTTAATAAAAGGGTTGTTTGAAAAGTAAATAAGCCAGATAAAAATCGTTTTAACGAAAAAAAATTGTTTGACAACATACTCGCCATCAAAAAGCTGGTAATGTTTTCAGCTGACCGGATAAATAGATTTTGTGAAATAAAAACAATTTCCACAGGATCAAAACAGGGAAATACGCCCAATTAAGTACAATTTAGTGGTTAATTTGTTGTTGTGATCAAAAAATGTATTCGTGTGATGTCTCTTTTTTATTATCATTGGCATCGCAATAACTCCTTTTGCTACAAATTGTATCTGTTTTTATTTATTTTATTTAACTACAAGAGGAGTACATTACCCCTTATCTGAAATTTGACCACATTAAATCCTTTAATTTAGAGGTAGGGACCTTTAGTGAGCGCAACACGTATGTAGTAATCGTGATAATCGTGGTATTTGTGATAAACCTGAAAATCGTGATATTCATGATTATCGTGGTCATTGTGATACTTGTGATACTTGTGATACTTGTGATACTTGTGATACTTGTGATACTTGTGATACTTGTGATACTTGTGATACTTGTGATACTTGTGATACTTGTGATACTTGTGATACTTGTGATACTTGTGATACTTGTGATACTTGTGATACTTGTGATACTTGTGATACTTGTGATACTTGTGATACTTGTGATACTTGTGATACTTGTGATAATTGTGATAATTGTAATAATTGTAATAATTATAATGATTGTGATAATTGTGATAATTGTGATAATTGTGATAATTGTGATAATTGTGATAATTGTGATAATTGTGATAATTGTGATAATTGTGATAATAGTGATAATAGTGATAATAGTGATAATAGCGATAATAGCGATAATAGCGATAATAGCGATAATAGCGATAATAGTGATAATAGTGATAATAGTGATAATAGTGATAATAGTGATAATAGTGATAATAGTGATAATAGTGATAATAGTGATAATAGTGATAATAGTGATAATAGTGATAATAGTGATAATAGTGATAATAGTGATAATAGTGATAATAGTGATAATAGTGATAATAGTGATAATAGTGATAATAGTGATAATAGTGATAATAGTGATAATAGTGATAATAGTGATAATAGTGATAATAGTGATAATAGTGATAATAGTGATAATAGTGATAATAGTGATAATAGTGATAATAGTGATAATAGTGATAATAGTGATAATAGTGATAATAGTGATAATAGTGATAATAGTGATAATAGTGATAATAGTGATAATAGTGATAATAGTGATAATAGTGATAATAGTGATAATAGTGATAATAGTGATAATAGTGATAATAGTGATAATAGTGATAATAGTGATAATAGTGATAATAGTGATAATAGTGATAATAGTGATAATAGTGATAATAGTGATAATAGTGATAATAGTGATAATAGTGATAATAGTGATAATAGTGATAATAGTAATAATAGTGATAATAGTGATAATAGTGATAATAGTGATAATAGTGATAATAGTGATAATAGTGATAATAGTGATAATAGTGATAATAGTGATAATAGTGATAATAGTGATAATAGTGATAATAGTGATAATAGTGATAATAGTGATAATAGTGATAATAGTGATAATAGTGATAATAGTGATAATAGTGATAATAGTGATAATAGTGATAATAGTGATAATAGTGATAATAGTGATAATAGTGATAATAGTGATAATAGTGATAATAGTGATAATAGTGATAATAGTGATAATAGTGATAATAGTGATAATAGTGATAATAGTGATAATAGTGATAATAGTGATAATAGTGATAATAGTGATAATAGTGATAATAGTGATAATAGTGATAATAGTGATAATAGTGATAATAGTGATAATAGTGATAATAGTGATAATAGTGATAATAGTGATAATAGTGATAATAGTGATAATAGTGATAATAGTGATAATAGTGATAATAGTGATAATAGTGATAATAGTGATAATAGTGATAATAGTGATAATAGTGATAATAGTGATAATAGTGATAATAGTGATAATAGTGATAATAGTGATAATAGTGATAATAGTGATAATAGTGATAATAGTGATAATAGTGATAATAGTGATAATAGTGATAATAGTGATAATAGTGATAATAGTGATAATAGTGATAATAGTGATAATAGTGATAATAGTGATAATAGTGATAATAGTGATAATAGTGATAATAGTGATAATAGTGATAATAGTGATAATAGTGATAATAGTGATAATAGTGATAATAGTGATAATAGTGATAATAGTGATAATAGTGATAATAGTGATAATAGTGATAATAGTGATAATAGTGATAATAGTGATAATAGTGATAATAGTGATAATAGTGATAATAGTGATAATTGTGATAATAGTGATAATAGTGATAATAGCGATAATAGTGATAATATTGATAATAGTGATAATAGTGATAATAGTGATATTAGTGATAATAGTGATAATAGTGATAATAGTGATAATAGTGATAATAGTGATAATAGTGATAATAGTGATAATAGTGATAATAGTGATAATAGTGATAATAGTGATAATAGTGATAATAGTGATAATAGTGATAATAGTGATAATAGTGATAATAGTGATAATAGTGATAATAGTGATAATAGTGATAATAGTGATAATAGTGATAATAGTGATAATAGTGATAATAGTGATAATAGTGATAATAGTGATAATAGTGATAATAGTGATAATAGTGATAATAGTGATAATAGTGATAATAGTGATAATAGTGATAATAGTGATAATAGTGATAATAGTAATAATAGTGATAATAGTGATAATAGTGATAATAGTGATAATAGTGATAATAGTGATAATAGTGATAATAGTGATAATAAAGATAATAGTGATAATAGTGATAATAGTGATAATCGTAATATTCGTAATATTCGTAATATTCGTAATATTCGTAATAATCGTGATAATCGTGAAAATTGTGAAAATCGTGAAAATCGTGAAAATCGTGAAAATGTGATAGTCATAATAATCCTGATAGATCAGATAAATCCTGACATGGTAGAAGATAATAGGGAAGATACTTATTGATGAAACAGGCGTTATCAAAATTAAGATTACTGAAACGCAAAGAATTGTAATTCTGATGACTGTATATATTTTTTCTACGCGTACATGGATATTAGCTTATCTGGGTGGCACAAAATTGATCGAAAAACATTTAATCGAATTGGAAATATGATCGAAAATGCATTTTGTCAATTGACATTTAATCGAAAATATATTTTATTGAGTAGAGCTTTATCGAAAAGACAATTGATCTAAAATGCTTTGGATAGAAAAGACAATATATCGTCAATCAACATTAAAAATAGTAAAATATAAAAAATCAAACTTCACCATGCAGCCGTCCATTTAATCCCTATTACTAAAGGAATTAAACTCGGCGGCTAGGTCAAATAGTAATAACAAAATTTTCGATAATCTCAAACCAGCTGCCTCATTTATCAAATTTTATCCTTACAAATTAATATTTTCAGAGCTCAACGAGTATTTATCGTCATTGAGATTAAAGCATTGTGATAATTCGTACAAAATATGCTATATATCTTGAGCGGATTGTCCATATCTCACTCGGACCATTGAGCACTCCGCCTTCATCTTCGTGAGATATATCTATCATATTGTGACGCGGAGCCGCCTGTGTACTTTGTTTACTCCTTGCCCGCGGTATGAAGTCTAGCACTGGTCATATAGAGACAAATGCACCGCTTCGAGAAGTTTCCATAGTGATCCCTTTGCGGCGTATGAGTCATAAAGACGCAGTTATTGACCGTTCTGGAAAGCCGAGAGTGTTCTGGTACAGAGCTGATTTTATATAAATAGCGCGAGTTTATCGACTGACAAGAAGTTTTCAATTTAAGTGTTGTATCAAAAAGATAAATTGTAATAAATAAATTAGAATAGTGAGTTATAATAGTGTCTAAGTATTATATAAATTAATTAGTAAATAACAAATAAATTGTAAATAAAGTGTTTTAAATAAATAAACTATAAATAAATTAAATAAACGTTACAATATCCACTCCTATATCAGTTCTTAGAACCCTAAAAAAGGAAAAATAAAATCTCCATAAAGTTGCTTTAGTTCAGAAGTTTCTGAAAGGTGATTTTGATAGATAAATTGAATTTTATGAAATTATGATGGACAAATATAACAGATTCTGGGCATTTTAACCGCCATGTCAAAAGATTATTTATAACTATGACGTTTAATTTTTAACCCAAATCTCTATTCTATATTCCATCAATTGAATTTTATATTATTAGCTATTTTAAAACCACCCCCAGTTAAAATAGACAACGCAACGACTAAAAGTGAATTGAGGTTAAGCCCAATGCAGTTTTAAAAATAAGAAAAAGAATACATGTGACATGATATCATTACTAGATTTATTACTGAAATGGGTTATAATTTATAACCAAATAATACAGAATAAAAAATTAAAAATAACATCCGGTTATTTTTATAACACAGGGTTAATTTTGGGCGTGTATGAAAATCATATTGAAAGGGTTGCCTCAGGTACCTGCGAAATGTTTCACGAATTGGGCACTGTTCATGAATTTATCCCTTTACAGCCCCTTCACCTAAATAATTTTCTAATATGTTCCAAAATCAAATTAGTGTAGGTAGTAATCTTAAATTTTAAATGTTCTTGGGATTATCCCTTTTAAACTCCTCCTTCTAAATAATTTTCTAATGTGTTAAACACAAACATATTTGTGTCTTGGTTAGTAAATTTTTGTGTTAGACGAAGCAACATTTAGTTTTTGCTAAATTTTAAAAAATGGAGAGATGTTTTGGCGATATACTGTGAGAAGTTGTAAAGCGAAAGTATAGACCTTGGGTGAAATAAAGGTAGTTTCTAGAAGTGGATGAACGCATAATCATGTTAAAGATGTTAAAGTACTTAATAGACAGATAGGTAAGTCCAATTTGATTTTAAATATTTATTATTAATGATTAATGATATACGTTAATCATGAAAAAATCAGTTGATATTTAAAGTCCATGTTAACTTTGATATTATAACAAAAGAATGTGTAACTACGTACAAATAACTTGAAATTTATTTATTTAAAAGAAATATTATTATATCACAGCTACTTTAAATTAGGCGAACAACAAAGCTGTCACTTAATGTGTTCGCGGAAAACGTCAACTTTAAGGTTGGATTTCGAAGCGCAGAAGACTACATTGTATAGTAGTATTTCTAAAGTAGACTTTGAAAAAATTCAAAATTTAGAACATACAATTATTTTCTTTTATGTATCAATTTTTAGTAAATTCAGAGCCGTGCGTAGTTATCATAGACTCGACTCGTATTTCTGTCTTTGTTAGATATGGCCTTCTTTATGAAGGTAGAAAGGTAGAATAACTAAATAACTTTTCACTTATGACGTGTGGTCCTAAGCACACACCCGTTATCAAAATTTAAGATAGCAATGCATTTCTCTAAAAAACTGAATTACCACAGCATTGAGTATGCAGTGGAAACTGTATTAACTTTAGTCATGTTTATTCACTGTTTAAAATAAATTAATTTTCAATCGTAGTTCCATTTTCCTTTTTCCGTAATAATGATTTAATATACTTTTTCATTTTATTCAAAGCTACACTATTGTGTGCGATGCTCACATCGACGCAGGTGGAATTTAATTATTAAAATTCCATTCAGAGTTCCGAAAGCGTGCTCCGAGAGCTGTCAAACACACCCGCTCGTTTTACGCTAAATTTTAAGTGCTAGGTCGGGGTTCCGATGGCGAAAAGTCTCTTTAAATATTTAGATTTATCGACGAATTATATACGCGTCATCATATACGATGGTTGGTTTATAAATTAGATAAGTTTTAACGAGATGGCTACATATTTAATTACATAATTTTCATATTTTTCATTATATCATTAAAACCAAGTACTTACCAACAAACTATCTAATGAAAGAAACACATTTATTATTTCATAATTCGTTATGCTCTTGAAAAATCCTGAAATAATGCTAAATTATTTGATTAATAGCTACTTATATAAGATTTTTAATTTATTTAAATAAAGTATATTATTAGTAAGAGATGAGCAAGGTCCTTACATATTTATTTAAATTATTTATTTTTTGTTCTAGACATTAAATAGATAAGTAAAAAATATTTGGATATTAATTTAAAAAAGTATTTACAGAGAATTTGGCAATTTCTTTTAACTACTTTTTGTAGATACTTATGAGCAAGAACCGCAGAAGCGGCAAATAAACAACCTCTTTGATTCTAACGGTGAGTTGCTACCTACTTTCTGTGCCTAAGTACCGAGGTGGAATTTATATTAATCCAATGTTGGACGCCGACTAACAACAGTGAAGAAGTGGGTGAGTCATAGAAAAAGTTATGTTCTTAAGTGGGCGCCAGGAGTTTAACCTCACATCCAACAATCCATGTGACAGTTCACTACCAAACTCCCAATAGAAAACTATAGCATCTCCTCTACAAGGCCATCAAGCGGCTACAAATCGAGTATGCTCCTATTATACTATAAGTGTACTTTATCATAAAAATAAATGCTCAACCAGATATTTATAAAATCAAACAGACAATTAGCAAGTGGGATTAATAATAAGTAAAGTTCAATATATACCCAAGTTTAATAATTATAAATAATTTATCGTGTTGACATGGGGGGTCAACTTCGTTACCACTTCAAAATTTAACAAATTATTATCAACTAAATCACTTAGTACATTACTAATAGATTCCCCAACTAATAACAATAATCCAGTATCACTGGGAGTAATATTTACAAATAATACGCTATATTATGTTTTAAATAATTAAATGGTAATCGTAAAGATGTAACACATAAGGTGCCTACTGTATTTTAGCAAATAAACAAATAATAGTGTACTATTTACGGACGCTAGGGGCAAAAAAAACAAGTAAAACTATGTTACTTATTAAAAATATTAACTATCCATAAGTAATATACCACACGAAGAGCTCTTGGTGACGTATTTCAGGTTTAATAAAATTTACTATAAACTATACACCCCTAAACCTCGTTTACATTAGGTTTAGATTAAAATACGTACTAATAACACCCCCCAATAAAATAGATTAAATAGTAATATAAAAAAAATAAGATTGCAAAAACTTGTGGGACTTATTTCCAGTTGCTCTAGTAGACGGTTGATGTCCTACTTCGGCATACAAATCAATCTGCATGTCATAAAGGTTGCTATCCCGTTACACGATTACTAGCTGATCACAAGGAGTACTAGCTGGTCACCAGATGTGCTAGTCAGCCCGTCACAAGAAGTGTTGGCCCTTCACAAGGACTACTGGTGTTGGCTTTCGCAAGAATTGATAGCCCGTCACAAGAAGTGTTGGCCCTTCACAAGGACTACTGGTGTTGGCTTTCGCAAGAATTGATAGCCCGTCACAAGAACCCCCTTTCACAGCTAAAAAGAGGGAGACGAATTCACCAAATCACCAATTTCTTTGACGTGCTTATTCAGAAAGACCACATATATATGTGGGCACAATGAGATTCAACACGTGGTTAAATATATCCTCCTAAGAGCTCCTACAACATGTGGTCACCAAAAAATACTACCAATCCACACTGTTGTAAACTTAAAACAAAAAGGTTGCTTCGCAATATCCCAAATGGATTGAAACGACTTCCAATAAATTTCGAAACAGTACCTTTCAAACAAACCACGTGTGGAATATCAATCTCGAAATACCAAGCAAGACGGAACAACGTCACTTGACAGCTCCCAAACCAGTAATACCAACATACCTTAGTGACAAATAGGTGTCCCATCAGCGCCCTCTATTACGAAATAAATTCTTGACAGAAAGGGCTAAAATAACCAAACAAAACCTCTAAAACCAAATAAATAGCCTAACTAAACTCAAATAGAGGTCCTATCTACCCCAAACTGATCATATACCCACAATTAACGTCAGGGCGGAAACGCTAGACCGATATCTTGAATACAGGGCAGCCACATGCTCACCCAGAGTGTCACAGA